GAAGTCCCATAATGTAAACTGCATTAATGTAGCTCTAAAATATACTTTTTCTTCTTGATATTAATTTTGACTTATAAGCATCTGAATTGTTTAACCATTTTGTAGACTAGAATCCAAGTGTTATCACCAGTCTTATCCAGACAACATTTGCTGCTTCCAAATCCCAAACATGGGAGCATATCTTTCTTCACAAAGGAAACCGGCTAAAACAATTTTTGACAATATTACCTCTAAAATAAGCAGCAATCCAAGAATAAAACAAGGAGAGCTACTTCCAAGGTCTCACACAAAACTTTTTTGAAAGAGAGTTGGCTTTAGCTCAAGCGGTTACTTCATCATGGCAGTTACCACAAAACTTTTCTGAAAGAGTCCATTTTGTTTTTAATTTTAGAATGCAACCCATTAGAAGCCCTTTCATTTGGTACAACTAGATCCAATGGTGGATTGGTCAATTAATTTTCTTAACTTGGTAAATAATTTACACATGCACACATTAAGTAGGTACATGTTTATACATTTTCCACATTTCCTTTTTACTTAAATGTGTACATCCATTTGCCATCTTTTTTGGTGTAGTGGCAAATGCCCAAGATACTACACAGGTTTCCATGACACAGTTCTTAAATTTGAAAGTGAAGGCCCACCTTTCAAAGAAGAGTCTTCACTTACAGTCAAGATCTGCTATGATATTGCTTTGCTCCATCATTTGCCATTAGCCAATACCTTTAGTAATTCAGTCAAAGTTCAATTAACCACCCAAGTCTTCGGTTTATATCTGGCAAACATCTTAGTGACCAAATGTTTAACTACATTGACTAGAAATACTAACATAAGAGTAGCAATCTTACAAAAGTCCAATTCAAATTCTACATATGCAGGAGGACACATTTCTTAGGTAAACTCACCTATGTAAGAAATCATTTTGTTCCTCATATATGTTATTCTTCTTTTTCCAATTCAAAATGATCTTCTATCCCCAAAGAGAAGGTAAATAGATCACTGAAGTTTAATAGTGTCAGAAGTCTACAGTTGTTAACTTAGGGAACAGATGAAAAATTACCATTTGGTTTCAGTATTTGCTTAATTAACTCTTAACCAACAAAACTCAGAATCCACATTCTGGTCAATCATTTGCAATCTCTTGACATTCGTACTACTTATGTTACAGTCAACCAGTCAACAAGTATTTATTGCTCTGCCAAACTGGTGAAATAAGCATAGCAATAATAATAAGTTCTGTTTACAGTTACGTATTCTAGAAACAAGACTTTTAAAAGAATCGTTACCTGTATAAAGACAGAAACAAAGAATATTAATAAAATGTTTTTTGATAGTGCTAGTAAATGTCTCTTTCCCTCTCACTCAAGAAACACTGAAAGAATATCTTCAATACTCATTTATTAAGGAAAGTGGTTCACGTACTATGCACAGACGACAATTTTAAAATTGTCATTTGACTCTCAAAGATCTTTATATTAATTTATTGCTAAATGGAATTATCAGCTAATGCCTATTGTCCTTTCTTATATTTTTCAGTTGGAATTATTGTTAAGTTAATTTATATATATTAACCATGTTTAAAATTATAAAATCCAGATATTGTAAAATTTGTAAAGTCATTAAAAGTTATATTTTAAACTAACATTGTTTTTGTACTACATTTTTAGATCTCAATTCCTGACAACACACACACAAACACATTTTCCCCTTAGGAAAAGTGACACATTAAATTTAAAAGAAAAACACCACAGGGGATTTTTAGGGCAATGAAATTATTCTGCATGACACTGTAATGGTAGAAACATTTGTCAAAAACCACACAATGTAAACCACCAAGAGAAAACCCTAATATAAACTAGAGACTTTATTCAATAACAATGTATCATTATTGGCTCATCAATTGTAACAAATGTATGACACCAGTGCAAGATGTTAATAATAAAGATGACTGGGGTGTAGTGGGAGACATGAGGGAGTAGATGTGAATTCTGTGCTTTCCACTCATTTTACTGTACACCTAAAACTAATCAAGGAAAATAAAGTCTATTAACAATGGAGAGAAAGAGAATTCAAACATCATGATCATCTCACCTTTCTATTTAAACTCAAACATCAAAAGTAATAAAGCATTGCCTTTGTCATCAACTACAAATTTAAGTCATTTTAGAAATTATGTTACTATGGATAAGTTTTGATGCAATAAATCCTGTCAAGCACAAACTCCATCGTCTGAATTTTCTCCTTTTAGTGTATGCACCTGTATCTTTGTTCCAGTTTCCAGCTTGAAAATGACAGTGAACACAGGTCAAAGAGTGTGTACAGAAGTTCATTCAAATTACAAATCCAACAATTCCTACTTAGCAATTAAGTGAAAGAGCACATGTTACAAATTAGAGTATTGACCTGGAAGATGTCCCGAGTACAGTATACCTGTGGAAATCTCGAAGCCTGGTTTCACAGGTGTTTTTAAAACTAAGGAGCTATTAAAATACAGGGTGGAGAATAATGGCTCAGTCATTAACACCTATGTAATTCTTCTTATGCATTTAAGGAAAAAGAAGAAATGTTTCAACTGAGATATTCATGTGGGATGTTATTTTAGCATTCCCAGGCCTGAGTTTTTGACTAGGGTTCCATGAGGGCTGTCTGAATGGTCTCAGCCTACTGCGCAGGGCCCTGTGTCCAGGCCGGCAGAGGCATCAGGCCTCCAGCAAGAACCCGCCAAGGAGACCCAAGCCTCCACAAGAAATGCCAGGAATGCAAAGAATGCTTGAAATAAAATAGCAATCCACCAAGGAATACCTGTGGGATACCTACTAGGCATGTAATGCAGAAATAATTTTCATACTAAATAAAAGTATTGATCCACTGGGATAATAGGTATATCAATAATTCATAGTTAAATACAATGTTGATCTCAGAAAACGTTCCTTGAAGATAGAATTGTTTCCACCAGGAAATATGTTGAAAATATGAATTAAATTGTAATATCCATTTTAACCGGGAAAGAAATCAAAAACTTAGGAAATACATAAATTCACTATCTACAGTAAAACTGAAATTTGTTTTATAAATAAGTAAATAAATACCATTTACAGTCCAAAAAAAAACCCCTGAAACTTGCTATCTTCCATGGTCTTATAGTAGTTAACCTATCACCACAATTTCTCAAAGTCAAAGCCAGAACTAAGCAAAACTTTAATGATGACTCAGACCAAAACACCAATGACAACCTCAGTGCTCCAGGTTACCTGTCTCACTGAGTTCACTATGTCATGTGTTTCAGGTTTTCTCCAGAATATCACCTTCATTTAAAGAATGTCTTTAAATATTCTAACTCCTTCTTTTCTCACCTTCTTTGTATTCCCTTTACAACCCCCAAATTAATTTGAATTCTACTCAGACACTTTTATTTTGAAAAGCAACTCTACTTCAAAGTTTAAGGAAAAAAAAAGAAGCATTATTCTAAGGAAATTTCCTTTGTCAAGTGGAACAAATTAAACTCTTAAGAATGAACACTGGACTGATTCCAAGTATTGATAGAACTGTCCTCTGCTTCCAAGATCCAGATAACTATACCATGAGCACAGATAAGACCCCTGCCTGGGTTCACCTAAGGCCTCCTAAACTGACAACAAGCAGGCCTCAAAATGTTACCTTGTCACTTCTAGACCCAGCTTAGCCTTCCCTTGGTTGGGTTCTTAGAAACAACTCAGGAATATCATGAAAAAAAATGTTTAAATGACTCAACTATTTGAGAAGCTAAATTCCAATTATGAGGAAATAATATGAAGAGAAATAAAGAAATATTCAAAAAGTCCAAATCCTTTTGTAAAATAAAATTATCTATCATAGGATCTTTCTGTGGCAGCAGCTCTCACAAACTTTCCTGGGCATCAGGATTGTTTATTAAAACTCCACTGACAACACTTCTTGGACAATAGGCTTGTTTGGGGCTTAGGAAAACTGTATGAGTAACAAGCATCTTCACACTACCGTGCAAGGGATGACCAAGACCTTTGTCTCATCCCATTGCCTCACCTCTGCCTGTGTATCACCTGTATCGCTATCTCTGGATACCAGCCTCTGTCCCCACTGGTACAGAAAAATGAATGAAAACAATCTTTGCTGCCATTAGTAGCTATGGACAGGACTTTTTTTTCTCTTTCATGGCATGATGGCACTCTTTCCATCCTAAAGGAAAATGTTAAAGGGAGATAAGGTCATATTTATTGATCATAAGTATTTTTTCTTCTTCTGGAAAATTATATAAGTGACTTATATTGTTGTCCATCCCTTAACCTTAGCCTTCATTTCCAAATAAAAATATCAAATTGTCAAATTTAGATTTTGGGTAAATAATTTTTTTTTAAAAAAAAGGAATGAATGATAAGGGAAGAATCTCTGGCTCTCCTGCCAATCACACCTCTCCCTACACTATTGGCATTGTTCCTGGGTTTGTGAACTAGTAATTTCTTCACCTGATCTAGGCATATAATTCACCTGAACTATCCATCTATCTCAACTCATCACCACCCTTTGCAAGACCTGGTCAGTGTGTGTTTAGAAAATCCAGTAGCTAATAAGCCATTCCTATAAAACAAAAGTCTATGTGACTATCTACTAAGACTTACTGGAGTCCATTCCAATAGTGTATTATAGTTGATCATTTTTTCACATTTAGAAACTAATGATATTCAGTATATTAGAGCTATGTTTCTTCTGTAAAATTACTTTATACTGCACTGCAAAGTATTGTTTAGCAAGACATTCTTATCAGTTCAGGATTTGTAGGGAAATAACCATGTATTTCATAAATAGCTTATTTCAAAGCCAGAGCTGAGTGCTGAAATAAGTTTCAAGTAGGTGTAAACCCCAGCATTTAAAAGATTGAATAGTGTTACCCACCAAGACTAAAAGTTTTGAAAAAGACAACAAATCTTGTATTGAACATGGAAAAACAGAAGAAAGCAAAAATTGTTAAAATGTTAGACTCTTACCAGAAATGGACTCCAGCAAATGCAAGAGACACACATTATAGCCAGGAGCTGGATGACTGTTTCAAAATGATGAGACCTGCCTTGTCTGTGGTGCTGACTTTTAAATTTAACTCTTAAGAGTGTAATTCCTGTGATGGCATTGCACAAGAATGAAACACCAAGGGCTAAGAGCCCCAGAAAAGAGAAAAGTAAAAGATAAAACCTATCTTCCCAGTCTTGGATATGTTCTGTTTTGTAGAAACACCAGGTCCTTGATGCTTGGATTTTATAGTCTCGATGCCCAAAGATGGGCAGCAAAGCTATGAAAATAGCAAATAAGCACACACCGCTCAACATTACTTTCACATGCTTGGATGTAATTTTTGTAGAATGAAATATTGGTTTGGTGACTCCAATACATCTCTCAATGGCCATCACACTGCCTAGAAAGAGTGGGCACAGACCAGAAAATACCATGGAGATACCAAAAATACTGCAAAGGATGTTAGATTGGTCAAAGCGGATCCAGTCTTTATCAGAAGCATATACAAATACTGCTATAGTTCCATTGATGAGGTGGCCAAAGAAGTCTGTGATTACCAGGCCACTAGCCAAGAGCAAAAACGATGCCTTGGACTTCTGTCTGAATCTCTGATATGCCTTCATGAGTATAGCAATGGCAAGGCTGTTTGATAAGATTCCCGCAGTCATGAAGATTATTGAAAAAAAGACTGAAAGCCGGTTTTCCGTCTGGCAAGTTGTATTTGAAAGGAGCCCAGCTGCAGGAGACACTGGTTCTTTGGAATTGTTCATGGACATTGTTGTGGAGAGAAAAAGAAAAGCCAGCTGCTCAAGTCATCTCCCTCTCAGAATAGTGCAAGCTTGTAGTCCAGGCATCTGCAGCATAAAGACAGAAGAATTAGGAGCACTGCATAACTGCTCATCTACCAGTTAAGACAGAAGGGCCCCAGTACCTGTGGTAGGACTCAGATTTATCTGACCTATCAGAAGCAGGTTGCATCATCCCAAAAGCTGCACACATCTGCCTCCTCTCCCACAGTTTATTTTCAAGGTAAAGAAGCTGCCCAAATTGAGCTCCCTGCATTAAACTCTTCACAGGTTTACAACATCGCTACCAAGATTAGCTTTAAGCCCAATCATGTTTTTTAAAAGTATAAGAGTCTATTTAAATAGCTAGATGACCTTTTAAAGTTTCTGCTTTTTTGTCAAGTGGGCTTTGTCTCCAAACTGCAGATTATTCCGTAGGCGAACTACCTGTCAGGTAGAGAAAACAATCTTCTCCAGACCTTGAGGGGGGAGCGGCAAGTTCACTCTGGAGTTTTCCTGAGTAAGTTCTAAACCTATTTGATTGAGATCAAATACCAGCACACCACACGCATCATTGACCCATGGAAGGCAGAGTGGTGAGTCTCTAGGAAGGTTTTCTGGTCCAGTTACCATCAGTGCAGAAATCCTGGGTTGCAATAGAAGGAGGCGATTTGTGCTTACTGTGAACACATCTGCCCAGATGGTGCTGATTAAGCTACAAGTTGAGGGTAGCAACATCCAAAACAAGTATTTACTGTCCCTCTTTCCCTCTTGAGTTGAAGCCTGAGTCACTCTCATTGCCCACGACCGCAGCCACCCGTCTCCCACCTAGCCGCGCCCCACCCCCGCCCGCGCCCCTCCCTAGGTAAACCAATTGGAGTTTCCGGAGCAGCTTTTCCGGGGGCTGGGAATTCTGGAGTCAGCCTTCCCTGGAACCCCGCTGAGCGGGTCTGTCCGAAGTGCCCCAAGGACAGCTGCCTCCTTCAAATCTTACTCACCGCCGGACTTTATCCCGTTACTACTCGGCCGCCCCCAAACGTCTGCTTGCAACATCCTTCCCAAACCTCTTAACTTGGTGGAACTTTATGCAATCGCTCAAATGCCAGGGGGCCGGTTTACCTCCCATCCCCGGGGGAACCAAAGGCGAGCGCTGGCCGGGGTGCCAGGCTCAAAGTGTCGCGGGCATGGAACCACGGCGCACGACAGGGGTTCTCTTTCTTGCCCATTTCTCTACTCTGAGACCTTGTCTACCTGGCCTCCATGCCACAGCTGAGAATCGGAACGGACCAGTGCGAGTACCCTTCTCCCTACGGGTCTCCCCAGCTAGGGACATCTGGTCCAAACTTGTTGCCACGCGCAAGCTAAGGTGCTCTCCAGGGCGGCAGTCTGCAGCTGGCGCCGGGCGTTTGGGGCTAGGAGGCTAAACTTCAGTTGCGTGGAGCGTCAGGAGGCCAACGCCTGGGAATACAGGGGTTAGAGGAGTGGTTACCTTGGCTTCTCGGGCCGCCAGCCGGGCTCCCGGCGGAGCAGAAGAGCTCGCCGCTCCGTTCGCCATCGCGCACCCCTCCTCTCTCCGCTCCGCCACCGCCGCAGGCTCTGCGGGCGCAGAGCCGCGATCCCTGTCCTGCCCCCTGCTCAGTGTCCCGCTGCGTCTCGCCGCACGTCTAGCCGTGAGCTCCCTTACAGCGGAACCCGCCCGTAGCACTCGCCTCTTCGGATCCCTCAGCACCTAGCGGAGTTCTCAGTCTGGGCGGGTTGACGGACAAGGGTGACCTCCGCCCCTTCCTCTTCTTTCTCTTCTCCGCCCCCTTTTCCGTGAGCCCAGGGCCGCAACGGGAGAGGGAGAGAGGAAGGCAGAGCGCTCCGAGGCTAGGGCCCCGCTATCAGCATCACGGCTCCCTCTCGGCAGCCCGACCACGTGGGGAAAAGTTTTGCTTTAAAGTCATTCTCCAGCTAAAGACGCCATGCCTAAGGCTGCAAAATAGGAATCTGGAGAGCTAAGGAAAGTCTACAGACAGCTGTGACAGCACGTTGGGCTGTCAGATTGTACTTTGCGGACTGAACTTGTACCAAACCCAGCTCCAAGGGAATAAAGAAACCTGGTAGAAAGATGGAGACGATGTATGTAAGGACGGGCTTTGTGGCTGATACCCTCAGGGAGTTAAAAACTGGGATTCGAGCCACGTGTTATGAATGAAAACAATCATTGCTTAGGACTCACTGTCACTTAGAGGACTGGACTGTGTTACAAGCTTTCCAAGCAATTTGAGAAGAAAAAGGGGTGTGAAGTATTCTTCAAGGTCACCTGCAAATAAGGGATAAGTAATATTTTAATGATTTAAAAGGATTTCTAGTGATATGTTTACCCAAAGAGATGTGAGCCTAGCAAATTTTGTAGATATCATTTTATGATCAAGAAATACCGACTAGGTCATTGGAAATTATGATTTAAGCCATTTTAATTCTGTTACTGATTTTGCTAATATCGTTTTGATACATACCTATTAACTAGTTCTCATTTTCCAGTTAAATAGTTATGGGAATCTGTTACCGATCTTTGTTCTTTTTATTTTAGTAAAATATCGCCACCATCTATGGGAAAACCCAGTGCCGCATGGAAATGAATCCTCTTTTCTCCATTCTAAAATCAGAAGGGGCCTCTAAATTCCTGGAAATTAAAAAGGGTCATAAAACGCTGAAGCAAGATAAAATAAATTAGCCATTAACCATAGAAAAGAACAATTGCACAGTTTTCCCGTGTGGTAGATATTGAGATTTTTTTTTTTAATGATATGTTTACAGCTTGTAAAATAAACTGTTGCTCAAGTATGGTCCGGAAACTGTACAATTTGGTTAACCAAATATTCTGCTTAGTAGAGAAATATTACATCTGGATGGCTGGTTTCCAAAAACAAAACAAAACTATGTAATAAACCGCAGTAAAAATTTGAATGACATAGAGCACTAGTCTCTCTTTTAATGATTAATAACACTTAATTACTTTATATTGCAATTATCTTTTACTTGTGTCTTTCCTACTGAACTGAATCCCTGCAGAGATTTTGTTCATCTCTCCATCTTCACATAGAATTATGCTTGGTCACTTTTCAAATGTTGTTTGAATTCATTAATGTTACTGTCAACATTTCCAGTATTCTAGTTCAGTATCTCTCACTGCAGCACCTGACATCAGCGGTTCTATCTACTGTGTAAAAAACAAACAACAAATTATTAATGCAATGTCAAATCATAACATTCACTATGTAATATATTCAAAAATATTGATTTGGTTTTCAAAGTGCTAGGTAAATCCAATGTTTTTTTAAAAACCACCTAGTTTGCTTGGAGTTCCATTTTTATTTTCTTTTTTTATTTAAGCAGAAAATGGTTTTCTTAACCTTTTTTAAAATCCAGTCCTTAATCAAGATATATTTAACCTGAGTATCAATAAAAGAGTCTAAGCCATCCACACCTCTCCTCAAGATAGAAGTAGTAATGTATTACTATTAGTTGTAATATGAGAAATCACACAGCTAAGTACTCTTCAAAGAAAAAAAATACACACAAGGGGCTCGGGTTAGAAAGAAAAGCTGGTGAATCCGTAGATGAGAGAAACAAACATCAAAAGCTAGTGGGTGTTGGGGAGTGGCCAATAAACGCTTCTGATAAGTGGTAGTTGGTACTGTTACTTCTGAGACATGGAAACTCAAATGAAAGTACTCCTTATGCCTTCATTCGACAAATTTCTTGAGCACCTACTTTGGGTCAGGCACTGTTTCTAGGAGACAGAGGTACAGCTGTGCAAGCAAAACATTCTAGCCCTGCTCTGATGTGGCTTCTATGTACGCTGGGGGAAGGCACTTTTGTGACATGCATGCATGCTCGGAACCTTGATGTGATTTTAGATGTCCAAGATTCCTTGTGTTAAATGTCAGCCTGTCTGCAAGAGGATAACCTGCCATGACAGGTGTGTGTGTGCTTGGCAATCACCTTTCATTCAGGATTAGATACAGGACATTTTGCCCAAAAGATGTGTACGCTATAATTAAAGTCAGAGAAACAGGGACTCAGTGATACTGAGGTTGAAATAAAAATTCTACAAAAATCAAAGGGAGTATTGGAAGTTGATTTTTATAGTTTTAATAAAAATGTCAAGAAAAGCTTTTCTAGAATTTGCCATAAAGATTAGTAGTAGAAACATGTCTCTTTTTGGTAGTAATAGAAATAATTTCTTTTGTCATTTTATTTTTACTATGTAACTATTTGATATATAAAAAATAACATGTAATACATTTATGTGTTGAACTATGATATAAAATAAATTCTCATGCACCTGCTTCCTAGTTTAAGGGCCGTATTCATCCCCTAGGGCTACTGTAATGAAGCATCACAAACTGGGCAGATTAAACAATGGAGAGGTATTTATTTATTTACTTACTTAATTAGTTACAGTCTGGAGTCTAGAACTTCAAAAATAAGATGATGGCAGTGTTGGTTCCTCCTGAGGACTGTGAAAGAGAATCTGTTTCATGTATCTTATTTAACTTCTGGTGATTCGTGGTCAATATGGAACATTTCTTGTCTTGCAGTTGCATAGTTTCAATCTCTACTTTCATGTTCTCCTCTCATTCTCCTTGTATCTCTGTCCTCATATAACCATAAAGACCCCAGTCACATTGGAGTAGGGGTCCACCCTACTCCAGTATAACCTGATCTTAACCAATTACATCTGCAATGACCTTCTTTCCAAATAAAGTTGAATTTTGAAGTTCTGGAGGTTAGAACTTCAACATACCTTTTGGGGATGGGGGGAGCAATTCAATCCACAGCAAAAACTATACTAGAACATTAATAACATAATACATCTATCTGTATGTTTCTGCCTCCATTCCATTCCTCTGTATCCCTCCCCAGAAATAACAAAAGTAACTACTCTCCTAAATAGTGTTTGTCATCATTCTCTTCCATTTTATTTTTCTGTCATATAAATGCACAGATAAACCAATATAGAATTTAATTTTTCTTGTTTTGTAACTTAACCTTCTGGAACTTCCTTTTCTCATGCAAGGTTTATACGGTTCATGCATATTGTTGTATGTGGTA